TTGCTCCTGGGGCAAGGGAGACGAGCGTTACTTTGGTGATGCAGCTCATTGTGGGAGGAGGCAGAATTTAAATGCAGGTCATTTAAATGAGAGCGAGAAGTGAGAAGGGAAAGGTAGGCAAGCAGCTACAAGTGGTTTATAGTGAGGAGAGAGGCCGTGTGGCCTGGACTAATAAGGAGGGAGACGCTGCTGCAGTGATCGGGCCTGGTGTAGCTGACCCCAGAGCTGCAAAGGACTTCCTTGCCACCTCCTGTCCTGCTGCAACTGGATTGTACTTTGACTTTTAAAGACCCATGCCTGTCCTGAGTTTCACCGCGATTTCCCCATGATTTCCCTGTGTTTCGGAGTAATACAGGTACATGCTTTTCTTCACTATTACACGGAGGCTGATGAAAAGCATTTCAGTTCCTGTAGAGATAAGGACATGGAGAATTTGGGGGATGCTTTTGGCTTGCAGTCTGGTGGGGAGCATGGGAAGTGCTGGGTCCCATGGGAAAGGAGAGGTCCAAGCTGAGGTGCTCTGAGCCCGGCCCCCTCCCCCGCAAGGTTGCAATGTTGTAAATAAAGATTTGCTCCTTCCAGCACTAATTGTTGGGTCATTCACCAAGGCGCCATGTGCATGGGCCCCAGAGGGTTCAGTGGCAAAGTGAAAGGCAGGAAGTGAAGGCAGGAAGTCAAGATCTGGAATGTGAGTGACTGGAAGTGAACTCCCAGGAACACACTGCTCCAGGAACAAACTAGAAAACACATTAGCAACATAGGGTTCCATGTGATCTCAGCATCTCAGCACCCCTTAAACATTACGAATAAAAGCCCTTAAAAATAAGAAAAAATGGGTGTCTCTGAGGAAGGGTGCATAAATTTATGCACACATAAATTTACATGTCCAATAAATATACTTAAAATCTTGAACATCTACGAGCAACAGTTACACTACTTTTTTTACATACATGGAAATTCTTATAAGTATTGCATTTATTCCCAGTATTGTGGAGCACAAGGGCACTCCCATAGCCTTGCCATAAAAGTCTACTTAGTACAAACCGCCTGGAGGGAAAATTAGGCAGCAGGAAGAGAAAACCTCAAAAAATAATAAAATAAAATAACCGCACGCATTTTGATGAAGGAGTTTTATTTCTAGCAGTTTGTCCTAAGGAATCAATCACAGATGTTTAAAAAGATGCATGTGCAATGCTGTTCCTTGCAGCATAATTTATAATAGTGAAAAATTGGAAACAATCTAAATGGCTGCCAATAAGAAATTGGTTTTTAAAATATGGTACATATAAACTATGATGAAATTCAAGAGAATGATTAGAAGTCATGTGCAAGAATACCAAATGAAATAGAGAAATGATCAGTGAGAGAAATAGGCTCAAAATAATTTACAGTGTGACCTGAATTTGGTTAAAATATGTGCAAATATAATGCTACTATCTGTATGTATAAAGATATGCAAGGAAAGGGGCTGCCTTTAAATAGAACATCATGTTACTGGAGACTCTCCAACTCAATTGCAAATAAGGAACAAAGTGGAAGGGCTTCCACTTCTAAATATTAAGATGTATTACAAAGCCTGGGAAAATACCAATGTTTATTGGCCCTTAAGAAGAGTCTATAGGCCAGTGGGTCTGGACAGAGATACCAAATGTAGAAGGATTTGTATACAAAAATTTATCATTTGATTAAAATGTCACCATAATTAAGTGGAAAAGATATGAGTAGTTTGAGATAATGTTCAGAAAACTGGCTTATTGAATGGAGAAAAATAAAAGTGGGTTTCTACCTTAATGATAGATATAAAAGTAGACTTTAGCTATATTAAAGACTTAAATACAAAAGCAAAAGCTTACAGGTAAGAGGAAACATTGTAGGAGAAAATTTTTCTGAGATGGAGAGGAGTTCTCTCTATAGTTCACAACCTAATTAATATACAAAGAACTGCACATACTTAATGTGTACAATTTGATGAATTTGGATACGTGCAAATGCCCGGACACCATCTCCACAATCAAGATAACAGACACTCAATGCCTCCCGGAGCTTCCTTGAGTCTGTATGGTGTGCTTGTTTCATTTATGTGCCAGAACATTTACCGTGAGACCTACCTTCCTAATAGATGATGTATTACAGAATTGTACACCTGAAACCTATAGAATTTTATTGTCCAGTGTCATTCTAATAAATTCAATAAAACTTTAAAAAAATATTGCATAAAGAAGTAGACATGAGGCATAGAAAGAAGTTAAGTGGTGTTTCTGTTACAGTTATGTAAACATACATGTCTGTTTTTTGCTTCTCCATCCACTGGTCATTTATCAAGCTGTATCTCTGCAATTAAGAACCAGTCACATGATTTTCAAAATTAAAATGCACTACTAAATAAAAACAAAAAGTCATCCCTCAGAGATGTTTCAGTAATGATGCAGCATAACAAATAAGTCTGGGTCATACCTCACAGAAACTGCTATGCAATGAAGTCACTGAATACAACATGAAAATACTTTGTTCATAGATCAGTATAAAGATCGGACTATGTGTTTCAGTTCTACACAGTCAGGAATAGGGTCTCAGCACTGAAGTACCAAAGAATGTAATAATGTAGATAATGTAATGCCCCCCGAGAAGTCATGTTTATGTTTTCAGACTGAGTATTTCCTCGGCTCTTGCACCCAGGCCCACTGGAGAGCTTCAGCTACACCTCTGGGATTTGTATTTCTAGTGAAAAAGTAAATGGACTTAACATGCTAACTAAACACATTTTCAGCTAAGTAAAAGGAAGTTTTCACGATTTACTTGCATAAGTAATTCAAAATGTAATAGTTCTAAGGAGAGAAAAGGATAAAACAAGAAAATCACTGAACACTGCCATCCCTGGTGTTCTCAGAAGCATTACCAACCTCTCGACTAGGCCTTGATTGACAGTACTTTTTCTATAGTGGGAAATGGCGACACAAAAATGCCCGAGATAAATTCAAGCAAAAACACAACAGAGGCCACGTACAACTTGAAATCTGTCTGTGGCAAAACAACTCAATAATTCTTATTAAACCCACAGCTGATTTGAAAGTAAGCTCTGGCTTAGTGGATGAAGAGTTATTTTATTAAATAAGGCTCTGTGTGAGAAGCAGGAGAAAGCAGACAATAAGTACATGTCCTAGAAGTATGTTTGCAAGTCAATTTTTCCAGATTGGAAAGCGATCACCCCAGTGAATTTCTCTAGAATGTTTCATGACTCTGCTTTCTAGCCCCAGTACTTCTTTTCCTTCTGTTTAAGTGTCTCAGAATGGAAGACTAAATAAAAACAAATGAAAGAATCACAGGAAAATTGCCTTTGAGAACATTTTAAAGATGTTTCTCAAATCAGTCCAGAAGCTGTTAGATGACATTGGCAGCATCGCAGGAAAGCAGGGTCACATTGGGGTTTGCTCCCCAATTACAGCCCCACATCTGGTTAGAGTAACTGGGAGAAGAATGGTTCTGGCTAATGTAATGGGACAAGGGAATCTTTAGCAGACTATCAAGCACAAACAGAATTGAGAGGAAGGGTAAAAAACCAGGATCACAAAGGTAAGGGTAGATTCAGGAGCCTTGGAATTAAAAACGTAATAATAACAAAAATAACAGCAATAAGAAGAATATTAATAATAGTTCATGTCCATTGAAAGAAGACTACATAAGCATTATGCTACACATTGTACAAGTATTATCAATAATTCTCAAATTGACTGTGAGACAGTAACTATTATCCTGTTCTAAAGTGACAAATTAGAACAATAAGTTCCTTGCCAAAAATTCAACTGCGTGTAAGTGGCATGGAGTCTGTTGAGAGACACATTGTTGTTACCCTCAGTTCCTTTCAATGAGATGAGCCAAGGGATTGGCCCCAATCATTTTCTCCATTCCACCACTGTGTTCAAGGCTCAAAGGACTGAGGAGACTCTGGGACCTAGAGGCAGCAGGTCCTTGAATGGGCCTGGAGGTCCAGCTGACTTCATTGCCTAGTTTACGAGGTTACTCCGAAGCTGGTACACACATTCTTACTTAGTCCAAGTAGCTCTCTTGGTTAGAATAGTGTATGAATAAATTCAAAGTAACACATTTACTCTTCACTGAAAAGTCTTTTTTCACACATGAAGCTTGCAAATGGTGCGCACCAATCCCTAATGGCATGCGACTACACCGAGGATGTGACCAATGATGAGTAGAGCAACGAGTTAAGGAAAATCACCTGGGATTCACCAGGTGGCTTCTCTACGAAGCCCTGGGCATTGTGCTTCGCAAAGGCATTTTCATTCCATGCTCACAATATCCCAGGAGTGTAGGTCTGATGTTATATTTGAAGACAGCCTGTTGAGAGACACTAAGGAGCTCTCAGGATGAGTGCCAGCCAGTGGCCCCAGTGTGACTTCCACCTAGTGTTTTTTGCTTCCTGAGCCCACACTGTTGCAGCCAAGGTTTGGCAGTGTTCATATCTGTCCACAGTCACAGAAAATTAATGCCACACATGGTCGGCGGGACAGCTGGGTCATCTCCGAGAAGCTGAAACTCCAGTCCTAACTCACCATCTTCTACACAGAGAAGCTGGTGAAGTCATCACAAGGTCATGATGCTTAACCCAGATGATCCTACAGAAAGTCAGCAAACTGGCAGAGAGCAAGCAAACCAGAGCCACCTAGTTCTCTGGACAAACAGTGGTCTGCTAGTGGACAAACAGAGCTTAATTCTCCTGGAAATAACCAGCCTGTCTGTGTTTCCCCTGCATCCCATCCCCTCTCCCAGTGCCCACACATGCTCTGTCACTATGCACTTTGATGACTTCTGGGACTGCTGGGCTGCACTGAAATGTGTCTTTCAGTTCTATTCCGGGTGCTGCTCTTAGATTACAGGGTGTTGTCACAGACACAGCCTCACACCTAAATTCAAGCCCAGAAAAATACAAGTGGGAAGGCTGCTGCAGCAGAGCCACACAACAGAGGTGAGGAGAGGCATGCAATCACCTCATTCACAGGGCAGACCCCGGCCGAGAGCAATGAGGCGGGAGGTGGGCCCGGCTTCCGAGCGAGAGTCTGAGTGGGTTCCACGTGAGCAGCAATGAGAGCTCAGCGAGGCACAGCCTCCATCTGCTCTTGCAAGAACAAGGCTGACTTCAAGCTGCAAGAAGAAAAAAATGGCAATAAAATGTTAAAAGCCATGGAAGTAAACATTCCGGCTGAGCTTCTTAACTGAACTGCATTCCATCAACAACGCACCCTTTCCTCTCCTCTGTTTCCCTCTCCCTCTGGACTTCAGGTTGGACTTTTTAAATTTCACCATAATTAGATATTTTCACTACATTTTTCTATAATCCATTTTTTTTGCAGTTCTGTAGAGCCCCTAAAAAGTGTTTTACTGTGCAGCCGAGAGAGAAAACTGCACTTGGCCTCTTCCCCAAGCTGACGAAGGCTTCACGAGGTGGTGGTGGTGGCAAAGAGGGAAGCTCCACAGAAACCCACCGCTGGGGTTTCAGGGGCGGCCCCAGGCACCTGTGTGAGGGATGCTCCCACCACCCCCTCCAGTCCTGTCTGGTGGGTCCTACCTTCTGCTAACTTGCCCATTCTCAAGGGAAACCAGATCCAGCCTAGTCAGGAATCTTACGTTTTTATTGCAGTATATTTGACATACAGTGTACATTTAAGGTGTGCAATGTAATTAGATACATTTACATATTGTAGTATCACCATCATCACAGTGATACTTAGCGCCTTTATCGGGTCCCATGAGTATTACTTATTTTTGATGGTTGGAATAAATATGCTCTAGTTTCTTAACAAGTTTGATGCCTATAACATGATATTGTTGTCGACATTCACTGTATTGTACATCAGGTCTCTAGGACTTGTTGACTGCTCATTGCAAATTTGAGAACACTACAACTTTATTTATGTATTTACAAATACACCTCTGAGCCCCACATGTTGAAAACACACCGCTTGCTCTGTCCCCCTGTCTCAGTGAGGGCAGAAAACAGCCTGCTCTCTCCAAACACGGAGTCCTGCCTTTCTGTCACCCGCAGTCAATGGAGTTACATGTTGGCATTTTTCTGCAATTGCCCCATATGTCTGGCTCCCCACCGTCTCGGCCCATTCTTTCTCTGCAACCTTCTTTCTGCGTCGGCTCCTCCAGAACATTCTCTCAGCTTATTCCCCAGTCTGTCCTCATCCTCACAGCTCACCCATCATCAGCCCCTTTCAAACAAGGAGCATGTCTAAAATAGTGTGACTCAATAAACACGCAATAAGAACCACACAGTTAATGCTTGTAATTCTCTAGTATCCACATGAAAAGAGAATGAGGAGAAATGAGTTTCAATAATATGTATAACTGAACCCAGTATATTCAAACATCATTATTTTAATGGGTGATACCAGCCACACACAGTTCAAGTGCTGAACAGCGAGAGGGGCCAGTGGCTGCAGCAGGGGACAGGGAAAAACCAGCACACTGAGCTCTCGCTGTGTGGGGAGGACTCTCCTTCCGCTTCCCACAAGGGCCGTCCTCTCTGCTTCACAATGAGAGACCTTCCCAGCGTGACACCACTCGTAAACCAAAGAGCTAGACTTCTAATTTAGATCTCTCTCACCCCAAAGGGCATGGTCTTTCCTGTCACCAAACATCTAATTTCTAAAGGACAGGCCCACCACCCCAGTCCCTGGCCAGCTGCTTCAAAAAAGCAGCAGCCCTCGAGAACCTTCTCCATCCAAACACAAAGTCAGGCACATGGCAACATATTAATCAAGTCCTCCAATCTCTGTCCTCTTGATATGTAGAGAAGGAAGGGGGAGATGGGGAGAGAGAGCGGGGTAGAGGATGGAAGGGGAGGGAAGAACCTAACCTCTATGAACTTGCACTAGCCAAGTTCTTAAGCACTCCCAAAGCTGCTCAACAAGTTGGCAATTTCACGTGGACACTGGCTCACGTCTTGAAGTGTTTAATATCCTTAACATCTGGGTCATGTGGCTTATTTTTCTCCTATTCTACTAAAACATTTTGGAGGTCATCTTTTTATACCATATCAAGTGGGTCATTCCTCAACCTCAGGCTTATGGGGGGACCCGTTCCTCTTGAGGACAAATGTCATAGTTTTTTTCACCTCCTCAAGAATGAGCACAGTGCCTTGGAAATCAAAGGTGCTCAGGTAAACATTTTGGTAAGTTACTATTCATGCAAAGTCCTTTCTGTCTCTACTCAGAGATGCTACACTTGAGCTGGTTGAGCTGGTTGCTTGAGCTGGCACTAGGCCAGTTATAGGCACATCAGAAAAGAACTTCAAAAAAAGTGTCCCTGTGTTCCCTCACATTTCAGTAGAAGATATCCATTAACCTACCTTGCTCTCTAAATATATATTAATTTAGAAAACTCTCTAAATGAGGATTCATTGATGGTTTGTCTAAACTGGCAATCATGTCTAGTTTTAAATGTTGCTATTGCATCTATGGCTACAAGACAAATGAGATTTAGGTAGAAAAAAGGAAAATTATTAAGTTCCTAAAGCACAATTTTTTCCTTAAAATTGTCTTATAGCTCTCAAAAATTTGAATTAAAATAAAAATATTCTCAAACAGTCTTTGCCTGAGCTGAGGATGATGACTTGTCTTATTTTCCAGTGCAGGGAGCCCCGTGTTCTCAGTGAACAAAGAGATTTCGACCTTTTCCTTCATGAGAAAAATGCTCGATCACCTGCATATACCTTGCCCTTCTCCCTCTAAACACCACTGCATTTTCATGGGCTCAGTGACTGTCCCAAGTAAGTGTCTCTATTGCTTCCAAGGCCAGCATTCCCCTGAGTCCTTGATCTCATGGTTTGACCCCATCAGCTTCTCTATCCCTTTATCACAAGTTCAATCTTAACTAATACTTCTAATACTTCTTAGTAATTTATTTCCTTCCCAAAGACCTTATGATGTAGTTTTTCAAGAGGTGAGTAACAGCCAGCGGGCTTCTTCTCAACCTTTCTGTGTTTCTGTTCTACTTACCAAATGCGTGTGTTCCCTTACACCCCCAGTGCCTTATCAGAGGGTTTGTCATAAAATTGTGCTCAATGAGTAGCTCTGGAATGAATCAACAAGTAATGGATTGATGACTGAGTGACTGAGTGAATACCAGTCTTATGAGATACTCAACAATGTAGACTTCTGTGCACAAATGCTTTGGGAACTGTCACTATTATACCATCTCAGGACAGTGCACTTTGGCACATTGAAGAAGCAAAGCAGGTGACCCCAAGTCAGTAGGACCCCAATCTGTAAGCTACTGGAGACCTGTTGGGTTGCTGCAGGGTCTCACATGTAGTAAGGGCAGAACCAGTGGGTGTCTGGGCACCGAGCTCTTAGGGAGCCCATGCTGGCCTCCACACTGCTGCTAGGACAGAGGTCGACCCTGTGTCTTCTCCCCCAAAAGTCGCCCTTACCCCCTAGAACCCACAGGAGAAGCTCCAAACCACCTGGAAGCTGGTGTCAAGGCCTCTGGTATCTGCTCTGGCCCAGGTAGGGGGTGTGATTTTCCTGGGCATTCAAGACTCAGTGTCCCCACATTTGCCTTCAGGCTAAAGAGTAACTCAGGGCCCAGAGAGCTGAGCCAGGGAGGTTCACACGTGAAAGGTCTGGGTATAGAGGAATTACTTTGTTTTTACCCATGGAGATAAGCAGTATATGTGAAATGGACATCTATAAAATAGTACACTATATTATACATGGTATATGTGTGTGCATATAAGCATGCATGTATGTATACTACATGTGTGTATCCACACATATAGTGCATATTTTTTAAAAACAGGATCCATGATTGACAGTCTTACAATCCCATGCTTATGCCCACTTCCAAGACTAACCAGTCCTTCTGACATTATCAGGAGATCCTGCAGATGCTACTTTTAAAAGACTCTGAAAACAGGAAAATCTGATTTGACCACGCTGGATTTAACACTTTCCCAGATGAAGCTTTGCTTGATTTTAATCTCAGCAATAAAATGAACAATTCTAGTATTTAGTAGCCAATGAAAGCACTAGCAAAACGTGCTTCAGAAGTTCCAGAAGTGCTAGCACTTCAAACAAAAGGTGAAGCAATATAATAAGGAAATGGGAGGAGAGTCAGGTGGGCCACAAGTGCCTCTCTCTGGGAGACCATGCAAGGGAGGGTCCTAATGTTTAGGACTGAATCTGTAAGTCACATTGAATATAGTGTCATTGTTCTCTGCCGTGGTCTCTGGTTTGGGCTGAAGACAGCATTGTGACTATGTCAGGAGATGAGGACTGAGAGGGTCCTGGGAGGTGGTCTGGGGAAAATTCGGGAAGTACAGAGAGACGGGAGGGGGAGGGAGCGAAGCTCCCAGCTGCCTTTTATTCCGTCTCAGAACACACTAGCTAGTGATTCTAAGGAAATCAAGGTTATAGTGATACAATCAAGGCAAAGATTGTTAAACAATACGATACAACTTTGTAGTTGAAAGCAGCTTAGTATGATGCTGGTTTAAAAAAATAAGGGAGAAAAAAGGTGTTTTTATCTTTAAGATGTACTTTAATTCTTTCGGTTAATTGACCTGAATGACAGGTGTGGACAACTAATGAGCTACGGATGTCCAACAGCGGAAGGCGAGCAAGAAAAACATGGCTTGTTGGTGCTTTTTGAGAAAAGAGAGAAATTTATCTCCCTTCCTTTCTCATAAGCTCTGCTGTCTTTGGGAAATGTCTCTGGCTCCATCTTCAGAGAAGTAGTATGTGTGCACCTTTGAGAGAGATGCCTTTGATCTCTGGAAGACCGGGGGACCACAGGACTCAGCACACTGCCCCTACCTGACGTCCACCAGATTCCTGGATGCCTGAGACAGTGAAAGGCAGACTGGTTGCCTAGCTATGGCTTTCTGAACTTCACTCTTGCAAGTTGAGAACGTATTTACTTCCAGGATGTATGCACAGGTATCTGGAAAGGGATCGTGTAGCAGGAGATATGGCTGGGCTCTGGGCATGTCTCTGGAGTTGAGTGTTTTAGATGGAGAAAGACCAAGGCCACTGTGGTGGGCAGGTGGCAGGTACAGGGTGCCAGGACATCCTTGGATGGTTGTTCATCTGTTTAGAATGCTGTAGCTTGCACCTTCAAGAACCTGCTCC